GCTCCCAGGAAAATCAGTGCACTAGGGCACTGCCTACAGACAACTCACAGAAAAAATAAAAATAAAAAAAATAAAATAAAATTATTTTTTTTTACAGATAATAGCCAGACCAAGCAGTGGTAAATTCTATGTAGCCTGCAGCTTGTTTGGCTGCAGGCTCTCCTGTCCAACTTAAAAAAAACAGATATTTTCACTAAACATTAAGTTTGAGCAAATTAAATTGAAATGGTAGAGATCAGGCTAATATTGTCAAGATGAGAGACTATAGGCAAAAGTCAGTTTTGACATTAAAAAAAAATATGTACTTAAATAAGGCCTTTTTGCTGTTAAGTCACATTATTCACATATAATAAAATATCTCACATAGTGAAACCGGTCCTCAGCTTCAATCTAGAAACCTTGTTAAGGTGGAAGCTTCTCCTAATATCCCCCCTCCCAGAATGATGCTTTTATAGCTGGAGGTGAGGGGTTTGGACACCTTGTTAATCAATCCCTAATGCTTTACTAATTGACCCCCTCAGCCTCCCCAGGTGGGGTTTGGGGGAGATAATGACTGGGAGAGAAGACACAGGTGGGAAGACAAAGTACGATAATGTGATGGTCAATACATGAAAAGTGCTGCTATATTTATATATGTACCGTATATACTCGTGTATAAGTCGAGGGTAAAACTAGGGGTTATGAAATTCTGTGATTTTTATAATTATATATACACACACACACTCTGCATTATATACACACTCATACACACACACACACTCATACAAACACACACTGTACATTATATAAACACACTCTGTGTGTATATAATGCAGAGTGTGTGTGTGTGTATAATGCAGAGTGTGTGTGTATTTAATCCAGAGTGTGTGTGTGTATAATGCAGAGTGTGTGTATATAATGCAGAGTGCGTGTGTATATAATGCAGAGTGCGTGTGTGTATATAATGCAGAGCGTATGTATGTATGTGTGTGTGTGTGTGTGTGTGTGTGTGAACTGGGTGGGAGGAGGGCATTTTTATTATTTTTAAAAAAAAATAATTTTAATATTTTAATTTTTCTTTTTTTAATATTATTTTTTTTAATTATTATTTAATTTTTTTTTCCTCTCTCCCTGTTGGCAGGAAGCATTTTTCTTACCTTTCCTGCAGCTCCTGTCAGCTCCCAGTGTAAGTCTCACGGTCAGCATGCCACGCAGAGCGTTGCCACGGTAACCCTTGGCAACGCTCTGACGGCCGCGGCTCTCGCGAGACTTACACTGGGAGCTGACAGGGGAGCTGCACGGAGCTGACAGGGGAGCTGCAGGAAAGGTAAGTAAACGCTTCCTGCCGGCCCCCAACAAGACCGCTGGGCTTGTAATGAGCCCGGCGGTCCTGGTCTGTATTATGGAAATGTAAGTTGCCATAATACAGACATTGACTCGAGTATAAGTCGAGTGGGGGGTTTTCAGCACAAAAAACTTATACTCGAGTATATACGGTACTCACTATAATTCCCCATTGATTAGTGACTTGATTTACTACCTGCAGTCCTTACAGGGGCATTGCTGAAAAAATAGTGTAATACAAAATTACTAAACAATAGAAATAAAAACTACTCACTTTAATCACCTATGTGTGTACCTCTTAGTATATATCAAAACATATAAAATTACCTTAACAAAAAAAATGCATTATGCTTTTTTAGTTTAATTAATTTACAATTACATAAAGTATCACCAAATAGATGTTTTAACACACATTTATGAAGAAGGGCCATGTTTGTTCATTGTGTTATTTAACTGTAAATGATATCAAATGGGACAGACCTCTTTTTTTTTCAATTTTACAAAAACTGCAGATTTTAATAGAAATTGGAACTTTTATAAATGAGCCTGGATACAGCCCAATGGTATCAGACAAGCGGTCCTGTTACTTCCTGGTTTGGTTAGCTCGGTGGAACTACACACACTCAATGCACCCCTTACAGACGCACACACTGCATCCCGTACATACACAGAAACACACCTTGCAGCCCTTACACATACAAACACAGATTCACACAATGCATTCCTTACACACATATCAGGACATCCCCTACACACTCCACCCCCTGTGAACAAACTCATTGGTGGAACATAAAGGGGGACCCTGGGACTCAGACCTTGAGCTGTGTAAAGGGCGCCCAAAATGGAGCTGCTTCCCGTTCTCCCAGAACATTGATTTTTGTGACCACAGTTACAAACAGCCTCCAGAGATCCTGTTCTACACCAGACCAGTGGAGCCAGACGGCAGCTAGAGCCCATCATCATCCTCATCTGGTTGTAAGTAGGCAATCTAGCATATTATTCCTGGCACTAGTCTCTAATTTACCTCACATTAAAGAAACACTATAGTCCCCAGAACCACTGCAGCTTAATGTAGTGGTTCTGGGGTCTATAGCCTGTCCCTTCAGGCCTTTTAATGTAAACACGGCGGCACTCCAGCACTGGCGTTAGTTAACATGGCAGATCATATGGGTGGGGCATTGTGATATCACATGGGGGGGGCGGCAAACTTTACTTTTGCCTAGGTCAGCAAAAATCCTTGCACTGGCCCTGGCCGAGTGTCACGTGACTACCCGGCGCTCAGTCTGACACAGCGCCTGCCAGACGTCCAGAGGTCCCCCAGCTATGTCAGGTAAAAGGTAGAAAAATAATTGGAAGGGTTTAGGGGGGCTACTAATATGGATGGGGGGAGGGGTAGGTAGAAAAATTATTGGAAAGGGTTAGGGGGGCTACTAATAAGGATAGGGGGAGAGGGGTAGGTAGAAAAATAATTGGAAGGGTTTAGGGGGCTACTAATATGGATGGGAGGAGGGGGGAGGTAGAAAAGTTATTGGAAGGGGTTAGGGGAGTACTAATATGAATGGAAGGGGTAGGGTGGGTTCTAATATGCATGGAAGTGGTTAGGAGGTACTAATATGCATGGAAGGGGTTAGGGGGGTACTAATATGCATGGAAGGGGTAGGGGGCTTAATATGCGTGGAAGGGGTAGGTGGGGTTCTTTTGTGCATGGAAGGGGTAGGGGTGGTTCTAATATTCATGGAAGGGGTAGGGGGGGTTGTAATATAAATGGAAGCGGTAGAGACGGGTAGTAAAATGTATGGAATGCATTTCTGACAGTGTCACTGAATGGCAGTTAGGAAATGTGGTCACCCTAAGTCAGGGGCAGTATTACACAATCTGTAAATGTATAAAAAATATATAAAAAGTAATCTGCAAAGTACAAAATGTTTGTGTCATATGTCGTGCTAAAAATTAAGCTAGGAATGTGCATTTTTTAAAAAATAATTTTTAGAATAATGATACAGACATTTTATTTTTTACATTTGTGATGATTCTTTTTTCCTCTCTATATTCAAGGGACACTATAGTCACCAGAACCACAACAGCTAAACGTAGTAGTTCTGGTGTCTATAGCAGGTCTTTGCAGGCTTTTTAATGTAAGCACTGCCATTTCGTTAAAAGGCAGTATTTACATTACTGATGAGGAATATCTCTAGTGGACACTCAGATGGCCACTAGAGGTGCTTCCTAGTCGAGACATGAATGCTGCCCTATGAAGTATCTGCGCATGTGCAGCAAAGCTGCGCATGCGCACCAGAGAGCAATGACGCTTCTGAATAGAAGCGTTTTATTGCTCCCTGCTCGCACCCTCCTATTTCGTCATTTTGATGAAATAGGGGGCGTGGCCTCAGGAGGATCCCGGTGCTGTATCCGGGTAAGTAAAACCCCTTCCCTGTAGTGACCCTTTAATGTTATTATTTAATGATGTATATAGCGACTGCAAATTCCGTAGCGCTGTACAATGGGATAAACAACTAGTTTACGGAATAAGAATATACCCGGCAAGTAAAAATGCTATCCCCCCGAGATTTTTTTGGGTTCCTACGCCCATGCCTGGGTTCTCAGTCTGTGACCGAGTGCCCATTAGTGGGAGGGGCACGCCGGCTTGCCCTGTGTGCCTCCAGCTACGAGGCCCCTCCGCTTAGTCTGCCCGAAGCAGAGAGTCAGTGCCTCCAGGTGCATACCAGATCAAGCCCGCCAAGGAATTGATCACTTGGAAGAAAAATAAATAAATTTAAAAGCCTCCCCACACGGTCACCCTCTCTTACACTGCTGTCATATACACACACAAACCTCTCCTAATCCAGTCACCCACCCCCAGGGCTGCCACCAGAAATCTTGGGGCCCCTAACTGAGCTCAGGGTCTGGGCCCCTGGGGGCACGTCTCCAAATCCCACACACAGACATTCACTGATACATACTAACAGACACACATACTAACATACTGGCATACACACATAATGACGTGCAGACAGACACCTACACACACACACACACACTCATAATGACATACAGGCATACATTCATGAAATGGGAAAAATCAATCAAAGTATTGATTATTTCTTTGTGTATCTGCCCCTGGCCAAATCAATGAAACAATGCGTGCACGCTCCCTGAAGTAATTCACACCAGACACAGGTTCCAGGTTGTTGAATAACTTGAGGAATGTTTATTCAGAGGGGGCGGCAGGTCCCTTTTAAAGCAAAATTACATCATAAGCATTGTCAGAGATAACATGGAATAATACATCAATAATTGGTTAGGTGTTAAGTGGTTGCTCTAATGCTCTGCCTACTATAGGTGATGTCACCGGGGCCATGAGGGTCTCCCACGGTTTCCCGGCGCCATCTTGTTGCACGAGGTAGTTAGTTGGTGTTATGAAGGGAGGGAGGGGGGAAGAGGGTGGAGGGGCTAGAAGCTTCTAGCAGCCATTTTGATTAAACATGTGTGCTTAACTCTATAACATATTGTGAAATGAATAAATAGACATTTTCTCTTAACTAGGAAATATGTGTAGACCTTATTTCCACAACAGTCCCCCCTAAAATGGCTATTTATCATAACAACTGCTACTATCCCTAATATATCCCTAATGATATGCTTCTAATTACCTATAATTCATCCATCTTAGCAAGCATCGAACACTTCACTCCGTGGGTAACCCGCAGCGGCTAATCCACTACATCTCCACACGTGAGACTCGCCTGCCAAGACAGATGCTTTCCCTATACTATCCCTACAGGAAAGCAGTTGTCTGTTTGAACTGATGTGCTTGAAGGGGTGTATGTGGAGTGTCATCTTCGAGGTCTGTGACGTCCTGATGTAGGAAAGTAGGAGTCACGTCAACTATAGTCTTATCTACTGCTTTCTGTAAGTACTTCTGTATACAAGGGAGTATGCAACAGGTCAGAAATAAGAAAATGATGGTCATTATAAGAACAGCTGTCCCCACCTGGAAGAGGGTCCTCTGCCAACCATTCATCCATCCAAACCATTTGTCCCAAGTGTCAGTGACTCCTGAATTTTTCTTTAGCTCGTCTGCAAGATTATCCAGCTTCTCTATGGCCATAGTCACCTTACCATTGGGCCCAGTGTTGTCTGGTATGTATGTACAGCATGTCATGGTCTCAGGGAGGATTTTACATACACCCCCTTTCTCAGCTAAATTCATATCTAGGGCCATTCTGTTCTGAAATGTCATTTGGGTAGTGGCTTGCAGTTGCTCTGCCAGGCCCTGTAGGGCATCCCTAGTGTAATTGACAAAGCGCTGTTGGTTATAGTAGATGTAGTTAATCCAATTTACATTTTTGTTAGCAGTTATCATTGGAATTAGGGATTCAAATCCTGCAGCCACTTCATCTCTTGCTTTGAATTCATTAGGCATCCCCCTTGGCACACCTATGGCGTCGATATACACATGGGGGTCAAAGCTCCCTCGGATAGGAGTCTCTCGTTTGGTTCTAGAGTGTACATGTGTGGGGTTTAATGTGTTATGACTACCATCTGGAATAATATGGATGGGCATTATGACTTTGGTTAGGGCACACTCCCCCCACCATTGCCCAGCTAATTGGGACCTTAATTGTTTATCACCACACAACCAATAGATATCACCGATTGTCTTTGTGTGATTCATTAACAGTGATGTAGGTGGGTTATGATAAGTCGAGCAGTATCCTGATGGGAATTTGCCCAGATATAAACCAGTGTTCTTTGGTATTGTATAACATGTGTAGTTACCTGGGTAGATGGTGACTCCATCAGGTGGCTTTACATGTCCATGAGTGATCGGGTAGATTTTCTTCCATGATTCACATATTGAGGAGTTAGTGATGGATTGTGCATAGAGACTCAGTACACATAATTCTACCTCGGGAGGTAAGCTCAGAGGAACTGTGCCCAGATGGGGCCTAGCCCCTCCACATACATAACAATTAGTTTTGTTGTGTGAGTTAGCATTGTACCTCATCCATTCTAGCCACAAATTAGTATCTGAGAACCCAGTCTCTACCGCCATAGTGTCTTCAAAGGTGGGGTTGGCTATAGCTACCATGTCATGTAGAGTCTTAATATGTGGTTTTAATGGGTTAATTATCATGTGAGTGGTCCCTACCCAGTCTGAGGAGGTGAGCATGTCTTGTAGGTAAAATGTCCCCAATGCATTATGTGAGCCACCCCCCTTCCAGTACATCCCCATCACCCTTGGGCTAGGGTGTTCTATGTTCAGGGTAAGTTTAATGGGGGTTGACCCTGTGGGTTTACTCAGGGTCATTCTGGAAAGTAGGGGCTTCCCGTCCTTGTCAAGTCTGTCCAGTGCAACCTGAGGTCTGTAGCCCCACAGCCTACCTGTATTCCATCCGGCAGCTTTCCATGAACTACAATGGTGTCCCCAAGCTCCTCCGGTCACACAAATGTATGGATCCTTTTTATTAGGTATGTCTTTGTATATGGCTGCATATTGTGTTTGTGGAAATGTACAAGTAACTATGTCACAGTAATCAAAGGTGTACGTGGCTACATCAGTGTTAGAAGAATTGTACCAGAAAGTGTATACGTGATTATCTTTGGTTATGGCCACTTGTTGGGCCCAAGCAAAGTGCAACAACATAAGAAAACACAAGACACATAATAAATTCATATTTCAGCAGGAACAGCCTCTTCTGGGGCAGGCACTTTTTTGCAATGTGCAGCGTGTATCCAGGAACTCTTTCCAGCTAGTTTAACTGACGTTGCTGTGATCAGGAGCACTTGATAAGGACCATCAAATCTCGGTTCTAGGGTGTGTTTCCTGAGAAACTTCTTGACCATAACCCAGTCACCAGGAAGCAGCTTGTGTGTACCTGTATTCGACTCAGGATCTGGAATAGAAGAAAACACTTGGGCATGTATTTTGGTCAGGGCATGAGAGAGAGCGGTCACATAGTCTACCATAGCATCTGACTGAATCTGAAGCTGCTGAGGAAAGTAACAACCTAACCTGGGTGCTGTACCAAACAAAATCTCATAAGGTGATAGGCTATATTTTCCCCTAGGTGTGTACCTTACACTAAACAATGCCAGTGGGAGACTCTCGGGCCAGGGCATGTTAGTTTCTTGTGACATTTTAAGCATTCTGGCTTTCAGGGTGCCATTCATGCGCTCTACCTTACCACTACTCTGTGGGTGATATGGTGTGTGGAATGCAAGGGTCACCCCCAGTGCTGACCAGACTTCCCGTGTTAGCGAGGCAGTAAAGGAGGTCCCCTGGTCACTTTCAATCACTTCTGGGACTCCATAGCGGCAAACAATTTCCGTCAAAAGATACTTGGCTGTAGTCCTTGCGGTGAGGTTAGTCACTGGGAAGGCCTCTGGCCCTCCTGAAAACATGTCCACTATGACCAATGCATATTCATAACGTCCACTCTTTGGCATCTGAATGTGATCAATCTGGATCCTCTGAAAGGGATATTGTGGCTTGGCTAGGTGGTTAGGTGCGGTCTTTATAATCTTTCCAGGATTGCATTTAGCACATATAGTACAAGATTTACAGTAATCCTGTGTTAAGGTGGTGATGCCTGGTGCTTCAAAATATTTGTCAATCAGTGAGTTCATCAGAAGTTTTGACAGGTGAGCGGGCCCATGGGCCCATTGTACCACCGCTGGGTACATACTTCTGGGTAAGCAGAACTTGAGATTGATGGTGTAAACATCATCACGGAGTACAGCTCCTTTATTCTTCCAACCTTGTTTCTCCTGGGGAGTGGCAGCAGCTTGCTGTTCCTTCAGAAGCCTAAGATCTGTAGGCAATGTTTGCATAGTGTAGATAGGTAATGTATCTGTGGCCACTCTTCTGTCCACTTCCCATCTTTGCCGTGCTGCTTCCTTAGCTGCTTGATCAGCTAGGTGGTTACCACGTGCTTCTTCTGTGTCTAGTCTTCCATGGGCTTTTACTTTCAGTACTGCCACCTCTGCTGGAAGTTCCAATGCATCCATCAGCTCTGCAATGGCTGCCCCATGCTTTACTGGGGTACCAGTGGCCGTAAGAAATCCTCTGGTCTTCCAAATTAAGCCAAAGTCATGTGCTACTCCCAGGGCATATCTTGAATCCGTGTAAATGTTGACACGTAAACCTTCAGACAATTTGCAGGCCGCAGTTAGGGCTGTCAATTCAGCTTCTTGAGCAGACTTAGTTGGTTGTAGGGCAGCTGCTTGTAATACTTGGCATTCTGTGGTGACTGCATACCCAGTGTGATATTGTCCCTGTTCATCAGCAAATCTTGACCCATCCACAAATAGTGTTTGGTCCGGATTGAGTAATGCAGCTTCATAGACAGTCGGTAGGTGTGTAGTTTCCATTTTCATCTGTTCGAAACAATCATGAGGGATATCGAGGTCACAGTTTGTGGTGAGTGGATCCTCACAGGCTTCTGTGTGGTACCTGGGGTACCCAACTGTACAGTAATTAATAGTCCTTTTGTTGACCCCCGTAGAAGTCAGTTGTTCTGGGGTCATTTGACTCCAGGTTTTGGCCATCGGGCCTAGGTCTTTCCACGAGATGTCGAGAGGTCTGGTGAAAGATATGTGTGGGATAGATGTTTCCCAATGGTGGTAGAGATGTGTCACACTCTCTGGGAGGTGGACTAAGATGAGCATGGTACCTGTGAGGTCCCAAAACAAGTCAGTCAGGGTAATTTGAATTTCTTTGAGTTGGAATACTTCTTCCTCATAGTTCATATCAGGGCCTGGTTCATCCTTAAACCACAAGGTACAGTGAAGTAGGGCCACTGATTGTTCATCATGTGGAGGTGCAAGTGCAGGTAGTTGTAGATCTGCTAGAACTTCTGGGTTGATATCCAGGCTATACCAGTGGTACACAATTCCCCCCTTGGGAAGTGGCAGAAGAGTGGCTGGATTCAGGGTAAGGCATCTCTGGAGTTTCACATTGTCAGGTAAAAGCAA